GATGATGTCATTCTTTCTTTTTCTGTCGATAAGAAGTGGCAGACTAGTTGAAAGGAACAAATACATGACAAACAGGTTCCATTTGTGAGTATGTTCATGTCTCTTTCTATGTGTGTGTGTGTGTAGGGTGTGCCAGGCAGGCCTCTCCCTGCACAAGACAGGACCTGTTTTCGCTGTTTTCCATCCTTCGAGAGTCTTTTGAGCCCAGTGAATGCAGGGTGCTGTTAAACATGTAGAGACCAAACCCACACAAATGTAACCCTCTATTAGTGTCTTACTCTCAAGTCACCAATTCCCTTCAGCTCTCACATTTTCCCATCCAAGTGTTAATTCTGCAGCTAAAAGAGAACTTGCAATAGCTGATAAATGTACATTGTTGTCACGTGTTCAGCCTCAAACTGCAACTCACCTGCTTGACAAGGCAAGATGTGCAAAATGCACAAGCTCTCAGGAAAAAATAACACAACAAAACACCAGTTCCTGACTTTTAACAAAGAAATAAACCTTCATATTCTTACTTTTGCTGGGGTTCATCTGTAGTTACACAAGGCATACAACACAAACCTGTACAAACCCATACATAAAAAAATCTGCCAACTTGTCCTGAATGGTCGGTTAAATGAAGTCGAAGGATAGCAGTAAATCCCGCCAGCCGATCAGCTCCTGCTGTGCCTGATGTCAGTCTGTTTACCTGCGTCAGGTACAGGCATTTTTGTCCCCCATGTCCACCAATGGCGATGCAGCAACAGGGTTTAACCTCGCCCCTTTTCTGCCTTGAAGCCAGTCCACACCCTAATCTGGCCCTTGTTACCAAACCCTCTCCCCTCTCCTCCCCCGCAGAAAACGAATTAAACAAACATTTGAATTTGAATCACCACAATCACTCTGTGCAACATGCAGAAATCTGTGTTTGTTATACTAATGTAGGGTAAAATTAACTACTAATATCAACAAAGCATGATTTAACAAAACATTAACCTCCAAAAATCAAGCATTTTAAAATTTTCATTAACCTGTTTGCATTTAAATTATCAGTTGAATTAAGTAACCTTGAAAGTTATTAATCCCATAAAAATCTTCTCTCTGATGTTTTTTTCCCCCCAGTTCTGGCTGACTATAGCAACTGGAAACTTTGGGACTTATTATTGTGCTGAAAATGTAATAAACACATCCTGCGGTACTTCCAAAACCCAAATTTTATGGAAATGACAGACGTAATAAGCCCTTTTTATGTTTGCTGATACCGTCTTTGCCTTTCCTTCAAAGGGATGTTTCTTTAGGCGTGTTGTTTAGAGGATTTATTCCCTGTTTGAGCGAAGCTACTGATGCCATAGAAAATTTTTACTTTTAAGTAAATCAACTCATTTAATTTTTAAGTACAGGACTTGATTGTAAAAAAAAAAAGCACATCGTAGAAGTGGCTTTTAATTCAGAGCAGTGCCCATTCTGGCGTTTCCTCTGGACACAAATATTTAAATCACGTGAAAGCAATGCTCTACCTCAGAACACCTGATAGGAGGTGACATGAGTTTAACATGATTATTTTTTATTTTAGTTTTTGCACTCTTAAGTTACAGAGTTGAATGTGTGTGACCCATTTCTACACATCCACCCAGTTTAACTGATTCCCTCAGACAGGGAACAAACACAGTCGTGTCTCAGCTTGCCTGGAATGCTGCAATGCACGTCAGCAAGGAGCTCTGTATTCAAGATGGTGAGAAGGAGCCTTACAGAGTTAGGGTGAAAGTTTGGCCTGTTCCGTCTTGATGAATACAACAATACTTCTTCATTCATACTGATTAACACCCATTTTGTGGAAAAGGCTGAGATGTCAGTTTAATATCCATGTAAATCTGCAGGTTCTGGGGTTTAATGGTTGGCTTTATAGTTCTGACAGCCTGATTTTACTACACAAGGAATAGTTTGACATTTTGGGAAATACGGCTTATTCTTTTCCAAGAGTTAGATAAGAAGATCGATACCACTCTCAGACCTTGTGTACTATGTCTGTCCAAAGGTGACACAATCTCTAAAGCTCACTAATTAAAACATTATATCTTGTTTGTTTGATCTGTACAAAAAACAAAGTGTGAAAATGACATGTTGTGGTTTTACAGGTAGTTAGTTTGGGCAGAGACAGGCTAGCTGTTTACCCCTGTTTCTAGTCTTTGTGCTAAGCTAAGCTAACTGGCTGCTGGCTATAGCTTCATATGACAGTGGTATTGACCTTCCCATTTAACTCTCAAAACAAAAAAGCCCTTTTCCTGTTAATGTTAAACTGTTCCTTTAAATGTAATCTACAATCAGTGTAGTTCGCACAAAGGTTAGAAGACAAAGCCTTTTTTAATTTTAGTAACAAGTCAAAATGCTTTTAAAAGAGAGCTACATTTCATGTCTGAGCAGTGAATCTTCCACTCTACCATTGGAATGCCTATATAATCTACGACATGGAGGCTGTATAGCAGATTACGCCCATTTCCAGTGTACCAGTGAGGACATGGACCACACTGAAGGAAGGTGGGGGTGGGGTTCAAGGCCCTGAGGCCCCGGCGCTGCAGCTTGCTGCAACTCCACCACTGTCAGGTAAGATATGCACTGCTGTGCTGAGACTTGAAAGATATTCAAGATGCACTGCTCCTTATCCAGCGGTGTATCACAATATAAGGAAGAGAAAAAAGAACAAGAGGAGTGGTTGGTTGCTGAGAAAAAAAGCTCTATAAACAGGCATGGAAATGTTGTCATATGAACTTCTGAGAAATAGATGAATATTAATAATCTTTCACCAGGAAGATGGGAGTCACAGTTTGAATTGACTGAACTGAAACCTACCCTGATGTGAACCAAGTATCAGTATGTGCTACGTCAGTATTCTCACAATATGTGGCTTATAATTTATTACTCAGGGGTGAATTAGTTTTTGTTTTATCTTTATTCAGGTTGTCTCACTGAGATCAAGATCTCTTTTTAAAGAGAAAGATACATTTCAAGAGAGGAATAAATGTATATCAGGGAGGAACAGGCTGCATTGACATGTCAGTTTGCAGAGATTTATCCTTTGATGAGCCAATCCAGTGTCCCTCAGGGATGCTGATTCATACTGAATGCTGTGTGAATGCATAAACCCAGTGCCCCGATTTTAATCTCTTTAAATGATTGTAGTTAAAAGGCAGCTAACACGGCAGGGCTCAAACTGGGGGGTTTGAGAGTTGAATTCAACTCCATGAACAATAGTGAAGCTGTATTGGCAACTGCCTGCTCAAGTTTGTTTC